TAGTAATGTTTAGAATTTTCCATGAGCATATTCTCCATTTTATTTCTTCTTTGGAGAAATGCCTATTCAAGTCCCTTGCCCATTTTTAAGTTGGATTATCTGCCTTTGTTGTTGAGTTGTAGTTGTTCTTTATATGTTCTGAATGGTCAACACTTCCTATATATATGATTTTAAAATATTTTCTCCCATTCTATGGTTTCTTTTCACTTCTTGAAAATGTGCTTTGATGTACATGTTTTTAATTTTGATGATGCTCAATTTATCTATTTATCCTTCTGCTGCCTATGTTTTTGGTGCTGTATTGAAGAAACCATCACCAAACTCAAGGTCATGAAGATTTTCCTGTTTCCTTCTAAGAGTGTCATAGTCGTGGCTCTGAAATTTAGGTCTTTGATCCACTGAGGATCAATTTCTTGTATATGGTATGAGGCAAGAGTCTCTGGTGGTCAACCATCCGACTACTGAGCAAACAAACGGCTGGAGGTTCAAGTTTAGCCAGAGGCCCCTGGGAAGAAAGGCCTGGTGATCTCTTCTGAAAAACCAGCCACTGAAACCCTTAGAGCACAGTTCTGCTCTGACACCCACCGGGATCACCATGAGTTGGAATTGACAACAACTGGTAACGTACCAGTGTAAGAGTCCAACCTCTTTCTGGTGCATGTGGATATCCAGTTTTCCCAGCACCACTTCTTGAAGGGACTATTTTTTCCTTATCGATTCTGTACCCTTTTGACACGTTGTCCCAGCATTCTGGGGCAACATCCTTATCTCCCGGGACAATAAGACACTCCAGGCTCTCCTTGTTCTTCCGTTTCAGTCCTGGAAGCAGCCATTTCTGCAAGGCGTCTTGGTTCATGTTAGTGCGGAAGGAAGTGCAGAGCCCAGGCTCTGAGCTCCAGGTGTGCTCGTTCACACCGATGCCTCTGATTCCAGCTCAACACCTCGGCCTTCTCCCTTGTGTCCCCCCATTCATATTTGCACCTTCCTTCTCCCTCGGGGAAGGCTCCCAACCACATCAACCTTTTTGCTATTCTGCTTCATTCCACAATGAACACATGCCAGCTTCAGAACACCTACACCCACACCCCTGTAAATCAGCAGGGCTAATGGGTGCTAAGACACTTGCCTGCTAACCAGACGGCTGGCGGTTCAAACCCACCAGCCACTCCTCGGAAGGAAGGTTGGGCAATCCTA